CAAAATTTCAGGCTGAAGCCCCCACTGCAGTGTTGAGGGAGCACTGCACTGCTGAAGGTACCTCTCCTCTCATGGATAAGAGGTCTCTGGGTTCCATGCTAGACTTGCAAGTGAAGCAAAGTCCCAAGCCCAGAACATTGGATGCCCACTTGGAATAGGTTAGAAACAAGTGGACAGAGCTGAACCTCAGAATGCATCACAAAAGGAAAGCAATACAAAAAATTACAAGGGAACCACAACAGTGGACAGTGAAATTATGGATAACCTTGACAACACAATGACTCTTCACTAAAAGTTCAGATAGAATTACTTAATGCCTGAACCTCCTGCTCATCAATCTGCAGGAAGTAGCTATTAAAACAAACCCTGGAGAACTAATTACAAAGAATCAGCTACGCTGTTCCTGTTGAGAAAATTGTTCTTGTATATGATTTCCATTCATAATACATTTAAATAGACCTAATTACAGTCACATCTCTCAGAATGGTAACTGTTAATATGCAAATTAAAAATTACATTTCATATTGGATTAAGCACTTAGTCAAGCCTTATTACTGCACACTGTGCTATCCCTCGTGTACTTTACAGGCTGGTAAGTCAGTCATGATCGAACTGAGTGGATAAGCTGACTCAAAAGGCTGAATTGTTCCTTTTACTCTCCAAATTCACCTTTGTACATATCTGTCTCTTTAGTGACTTTAGATCAAGTTTCATGACAACGCCATAGACATATTCAGGTCAGAGCAATTTCCTGGAGCAGTCTCTATCGCCTAAGGGATTTCACATATTTTGTTTTACCCCCAAGTGCAACCCCAACCCCAATTTGTTCTTGGTTTTCTAAATCAGTGTTTTGCCTCTCCCGGTCAATCACTTCCAATTAGGAGCATGCTGAGGCCATTCAGTTCCTGCTGCACCACACAATATGAACATGGTTATCTGAATCCAGACTCAACTCCGCTTTTCTGCCTGTCCCCTGCTATCCTTTAACTCCCTTGTTCGTCAAAAATCTTCCGAAAAATATTTCATGACCCACATCCAGTGCCCTCTGCAAGAGATTTCCATTGATCCACAACCCTCTGAGAAATGTTCTCTTCAGCTTCATCTTAAATAGGTGACCCTGTGGGTTTAATCTGTGTCCCTTCATCCTAGCCTCTCCAACAAGGGAAAACATCCTTTCAGCATTCAACCTGTCAAGTTCCCTTAGGATCTTATATGGGATAGTGTGTATAAATTGCAATCTACAAGGAGGTAGTTTTAAGCTAACTTGTTTCCTTGGGATCATAATTAATAAAATCATGAATGGGTACCAAAAAAGCCTGTCTATCTATTTGCCTCTCAGTCTATCTATCTCATTATGGAAAACAGTTCAAGTGGATCCATTTTTTGTCCCTCACATTATTTGGAAATTTCTTACATACTAAATCTCTCATTGTTTGATTGTCTGACATGCAATGTGTTGTGCTCAATTCAAATATATTCTGGTTCAATGCAAATCTCTGTGAGCTGCTGTGCAAATCAATTAATAGTCATTCAAACCTATTATATAATTGTACTTCAGTTAAATTTCTTAGCAAGGTGAGGGTGGTTCAACAAAAAACATTTTCTGACATTTTCATACAGGGTATTTTGTTTTACCTTCTGTTGTGCAAAGTATAGAATGACAATAAAATTTCTAAATTATTAACATGCAATGTTACATTTATATTATATATAGATTTCGCACAATACTATAATACAAAATTATAACATTTATTTATGTTGTTTCATTAACATGTTACCTGAAAGCCTCATCCAATCCTGGCATGCAATTGTAATTTTGATTCAAATCTACCAGTCTACTTATTTCAGGGAGATAGAACAGAACAGTTGGACCAAATTTCTGTGCTGTAATTTCTAAGTAACTGCATGCCATTATAGGATTGTCTTACCAAAAGCAATCACTTTTCATTTTTCAGCAAATAATAAGAAAGGCACACAGCGTGTTGACCTTTCTTTTAAAGAGGAGAAAAATAGGGAACAATCAAAAACAAATTTCTGGAGAAACTCAGCAGGTCTGGCAGCATCTGTGGAGACAGTTGATCTGAAGGAAAGGAAAGATATATTGGACCGTCGTTGGAAACAGTCCAGAGAATGTTCATTTGGTTGATCCCAATTATGAGGGATTGACTTATGATGATGGGTTGGGTAGGTTAGGCTTGTACTTAATGGGGTTTACAACGGAGAGGTAATCTTGTTGACAGGGTAAATACCAAGAGGTTGTTTTGTCTGTGGGTCTAGGACCAAAGGAAGTACTTAAAATACTTCCTGAAGGTTTCCCTCAAGAAATGCAACATGGATATTAACACCTGTGAGACCTTCACTCAGAAGAAACTAACTTGGAGGAAGTTCCTATAGATCTTGCCTAACACATGCCCTGTGAAATGTAAGATAACAAGGTGTAGAGCTGAAGAAGGGTCTAGGCCCGAAACGTCAGCCTTCCTGCTCCTCTGATGTTGCTTGGCCTGCTGTGTTCATCTAGCTCTACACCTTGTTATCTCAGATTCTCCAGCATCTGCAGTTCCTACTATACCTGTGCAATGTAACCTGTTTGCCTCGATCTAAGTCTTTTTAATCTGTGCATTCTTGCTTCCTATGATCTGCTTGTACTGCTCATAAATAAATCTTTTCCCTGTGCTTCGGTACACATGACAATCAATCAATTCTTTGAGAACTCCCATCAGCAAGACATAGCACAGGAAGGTACCTGAGAAAGGAATGCCAGCAATCTCAAGGCCAAGGGTCAATTCCACCGCTCGGAAACACCTGCCAAGCGTGTGGTCAGAGATGCAGCTCTAGGATCAAACTCATCAACTACACAAGGACCTATAGAACCCATGACCAGTGGCATGGAACTTCCTCGGCTACAAAGTCATACAGCACAGAATAAGGCCCTTTGGTCTAACTTGTTTGCACTGACTAGACATCCCAATCTGACCTAGTCCCATTTACCAGCATCTGGTCGATGTCCCTCTAAACCTTCCTATACGTGTACCCATCCAGATGCCTTTCAAATGTTGTATCCACCTCCACCACTTCCTCTGGCAGTTCGTTCTATACATGTACCACCCACTGCGTGAAAATGTTACCCCTCAGGTCCTTTTTAAATCTTTCCCCTCTCACCTTAAACCTATGCCCTCTAGTTTGGGATGCTCCCACCCTAGGAAAAATAATCATACTTATTAGCAAATGATTGCTGGCCAGGACCAGGAGGCATATTCTCAGAATAAAGGGTTGTCCATTTAAGACAGAGATGAGGGAGAATTTCTTCTCTCAGAGGATAGTGAATTCAATAAGATCATGGAATCATCTTTTCATGGACTCAATTCCACTTACCCTCCCGCTCACCATAACCCTTAATTCCTTTACTGTTCAAAAATATATCTATCTTTGCCTTAGAAACATTCAACGAGGTAGCTTCAACTGCTTTACTGGGCAGGGAATTCCACAGATTCACAACCCTTTGGGTGAAGAAGTTCCTCCTCAACTCAGGCCTAAATCTGCTCCCCCTTATTTTGAGGCTATGCCCCCTAGTTCTAGCTTAACCTGCCAGTGGAAACAACCTCCCTGCTTCTATCTTATCTGTTTCCTTCATAATTTTATATGTTTCTATAAGATATCGCCTCATTCTTCTAAATTCCAATGAGTATAGTCCCAGTCTACTCAATCTCTCCTCTTAAGCCACCCCTCTCAATTCTGGAATCAACCTAGTGAATCTCCTCTGCACCCCTTCAGTGCCCGTACATCCTTTTTCAAGTAAGGGGTCCAAAACTGTACACAGTACTAAACATTTTTCCCCAGTTGTAGTGGTGGGATTGAACCTGTATCCTCAGACTATTCGAGATAGCAAGAACTGCAGATGCTGGAGTCAGAGTCAACACAGTGTGGAGCTGGAGGAATACAGCAGGTCAGGCAGCATCAGAGGAGCAGGAAAGTCGATGTTTCGGGTTGGGACCCTTCATCAGAACTGTCATGTGTGGACTTCAGGGGTATAACCCTATGGTGGTTATGTTACTGGACTAGTAACATAGAAGTCTTAGTGAATGCTCCATAGACATGAGTTCAAAACCCACTGCAGCAGCTGGGGGAAATAAATTTAAGTAATTAATTAAATTTGGAACAGTAAGCCATGAGTGGCCATGGTGACTGTGAAATGGCTACATTTAGTGTAATGTTACTGGACTAGCAATCCACACGTCCAGGAAAATGCTCTGCAAACGCAAGTTCAAATCCTATCTCAGCAATTAGGTAAATGTGAATGAAATAGAAAATCAGTATCACATCCAGAAAGCATAATCTCAGAGTAAGGAGTCACAGATGACAAGGATTATTTTTCTTACAGACAGTAGTGAATCAGAGGGCTATTGAGGGTTGGTCATTAAGTATATTCAAGACTGAGATTTGTAATCATTAGGGAAATCAAGGGCTACAGGGATAAGGCAGGGAAGTGGAGTTGACGATTATTGGGTCAGTTGTGATCTCATTGAGTGCTGGAGTGGACCCGATGGGGCAAATGGCTTACTTCTACTCGTCTTATAGATTGTTGTAAAACCTGTTTAGTTTACCAAGGCCCTTAGGGAAGGAAATTTGATATCTTTACCCTTTCTGGCCTACAGGTGACCCACATCAATGTAATTGATAACTGCCCTCTGGAATGAGGGCAATCTGTTGCTTCGCTCAGCTACTTTCTCAAGGGTAATCGAGTTTGGGCAATGAAGTCTGACCATGTCAGTGTCACCCACATCCCATCAATGATTTTTTTCAAAATCAAAACAATCCTAGTGCATGCACTTTGTAATAAATTACACAGGGCCTTCACTGTAGTATATGCTTTATAATTATCAAATGGATCTAGATCTTAAGTCAACCAATCTGTTAATTTCTTTCTTCCTAAACTCCTGTTTTCAAGTTTTGTTTTAAAAGATTGGGAATGCATTTTTGGTATCAGGAAAATAATAATTAGCTTTACAATAATTACCTTTATTGTCACATCTACTCACATGAGTACAATGAAAAGTTTACAAGTTATCACTTATAGTCCCATCTTAGTTACCAAGGCACCTAGATACAAATTCTTAAGTTCAAATTCTTAAGGGAAAAAAATAGAAAAATAAAGCAATAAAGGCTGGGAGTTTGAGTCCACACTGAACCAGGGGGTCGAGTCCACGCTGAGGCCGGGGGTTCGAGTCCGCGCTGAGGCCGGGAGTTCGAGTCCACGGTGACGCCGGGGGTTCGAGTCCACGCTGAGGCCAGGGGTTCGAGTCCACGGTGACGCCAGGGGTTCGACTCCATGCTGAGGCCAGGGGTTCGAGTCCATGCTGAGCCGGGGAGTCGAGTCCACACTGAGGCCGGGAGTTCGAGTCCCCACTGAAGCCAGGATTTTGAAACCACGCTGAGGCTGGGGGTTTGGGTCCATGCTGAGGTTAGGAGTTCGAGAGCATGCTGCGGTATTAGGACTGGTTAATCCACTTTTGGAATACTGCGTTCAACTCTGGTCTCCCTGCTGTAGGAAAGATATTGTTAAACTTGAAAGGGTTATGAAAGGATGTTGCTGGGATTGGAGAGTTTGTGCTATAGGGATAGTCTGAACAGACTCCCTGGAGCATCAGAGGCTGAGAGGTGACCTTACAGATGTTTATAAAATAATGAAGGGCATCAATAGGGTGAATAGCCAAGGTCTATTTCCCAGGGTAGGAGAGTCATAATAAAGGACATAGGTTTAAGGTGAGATGGGAAAGATATAAAAGGGACCCTTCAGGCAACTTTTTCAATGCAGAGGGTGGTGTGTGTATGGAATGAGCTGCCAGAGAAAGTGGTAGAGGCTGGTACAATTACAACATTTAAAAGGCATCTGGCTGGTTACATGAATAAGAAGGGTTTAGAAGGATATAGGCTAAAGGAAGGCAAATGGGACTAGGTTAATTTAGGATGTCTGGTCGGCATGGAGGAGTGGGACCGAAGGGTCTGTTTTCCTACCGTGCAACTCTGTGACTCGAACATCATTTTTTTTTTAAAAGAAGAGCTCTGAGCAAGTTAGTGTTGATGCCCTCAGAACAGGATTTGAGACGCCTGCCAGAGATGGGGTGGAGGGGAGGGGAGAAGCACCTTTCAAGGAAACAAAACTGGAGTCTTTTACTTTCTCTCCCTTCAGGATGAATCTCCCACCCTCTTTCTTATCCCCGACTGTCAAACGCGGTCATGGTGTCAGCCGATTTACTCCTGAATTCGTCGCTTTACATCTCAATGGGTGATGGGTGGAGGAGTGGAGAGACAGGAATCAAACTGGGGGCTGCTCGCCGTTTGGGGCGAGCTCTGTGTGTGTTTGTGTGTGGTGAGCTTATCAAGTGAGGTTGAATGGGAGAATCTTCGGTAGGTTTTTAAAAAGGGGACCCCCCCTCCCACACACTCACTCATCCCCCCCCAACCGCCTGAGCTTTTGGAAAACACTCACTGACCAGAGAGGGGGAGGGCCTCCATTCATGGCTTGCAGGGCGGAAACAATTCCCTCTGGCGTCCCGGCATGAGAGGTCTGCATGCAAACCCATCTCCCACAAAGTGAATCAAACGGTCCAGAAAATGCTATTCACCGCCCTGGCTAGAGGGGGTTGGGTTGTAGATAGAGGTCGGCCTGCATCTCTTGCTGAAATGCACCCTGGCAGCTTCTGAGTATTCCCCCTCCCCCGCAAAGTTTGAGGTTGCAACATCCAGTTTTGCAAAATTAAGTGACATTAGGTTTGCTTGCAAGGGGACGGCTGAGACTTCAGATTAAGCGGAAGCTGCACATTCAGATGCAGACCCTGCTCCCCCTGCTGGTTCGCTACTTCTTAACACAAAATAACATCGAGACCACACATGTTGCTTTTTTTAGGGAAAAATATATACACATTTATGTAAACATTTGCTCCAGTATGTAACGTGCTGCGTTTGCCAGAGAGAAAAAAAATAGGATGCTATGGAGACGAAATCCAGGCTGCGCAACGCTCTTTGTTTTTAGAAAGGATCGACCAACTGAGTTTTTTTCCTCGCTGTCTTTCTCTCCCCCTCCATCCCCCGGTTCGGGGAGAGAGGGAGGGGAAAGTTGGACAAGAGTTTGAGCTTGCTAAATCAAGCGTGATGTGGAACACTGGAGTGCAGCTATAGTTTACAGAGAGGGAGAGGGAAGGGGAGTCAGTGAGAAAGAAAGTACTTTGACAATTTGCATCTGGCCAAAAAAAAACCGCGGCAAATTTCTGTTCTATGTGAGTTACAATTGCAAGGATTCCAGGACAAAGGGGAGGGAGGATGGATAGTAACTTCAGTTCTCCGGCTGAATTGTTGAATTCTCCCCGGATGCAAGTCTGGATGGAGTTTTCTGGAATAGATTTTTGACTTTCTCGTTGTGGAAAGGGGGAAGATTTGTATCGGAGGGTGGAGGAAGTGGGTGGGAGATCACTACACCCGCTGTTATGCAACTGAGAAGGGGCTCTGGAAAGCAGATTGGGGAGACGGTTTCCGGATGTATCCGATCCGGTCACTCTGAGCCAGGGAGCTGCGGATGGTGTTAAAGGATGCCCCAGGCTGTGAGGGTCAGTTGGTACTCGCTGGCGATCTTGGCTTGTCTCAGCTCGGTGAGCGGGGCTGAGCCGGTGTGTTGGCAAGCGGTGCTCCGTTGTCAGGAGGAGAAGGACTGTAAGTGGGCTTACAGCCAGTATAGCGCCGCCTGCGAGCCCTTTCTCAAGGGGCTGAGGCGCCAGTGTCCGAGCCACTGTATCGGCGCCTTGGTCAAACTCAACCAGACTCAGAACGGCCCCGACCTGGAGAACTGTGACTGCGACCAGGACGTGCAGTGCAGGCGGGCCAAGCGGGCCATCGAGCCGTGCATGCCCAGGCGGTACAGGGGCCATTCGCCGGACGCGGCCGACCTAGGCTGCACCGCCGCCCGGCAGCGCTGCGAGGAGGAGTCGGTGTGCCACGGTGCCATGAAGGACTACCTCTCCAAATGCGGGCAGCTCTTCAATGGCAGGCGCTGCACCGCCGTCTGCAAGAGCACCATCCAGCACTTGCTGTCCATTCCCAGTGGGATCTTGCTGAACACATGCGTCTGCGACGGGGTGGAGAGACCCTTCTGCGAGGTGGTGAAGGAGAACATGGAGAAGTTCTGCTCCATCGAAGGCCCCTCGCCCTTTACGGCCACACCGGACTCGGAGGAGAGCTATGAATACGATGATTATGAAATGAACAAAACGGATTTAAGGCCAGAAACTATAGACGGAATGGACTCGCCACTGAATGACTCTGCAGGACTGGAGACACACACGTGGTGTGCTCTCCTCCTCCTACTGAACTTGTGGTTTCCCTAATACTTTGTGCAAACAATTATTTGCAGGTTTGTGTGTTTTTTTTGTCAGTTTTAATTATTTGTAAACTCTGTGTGTATCAGGCACCGTGCGCCTCTGGTGTTTACAAAACACTTCACTGAAGCTGGGCACATCACGTGCAGATCAAATTAAAAACTTGGGTTATGCAGACTTCCTCATAACCTCCACCTCCCGTAAATCTTTTTTTTTAACAAAGATTTATTTTTTTAAAAAATCTCACACGTATGAAACGGCACATTGTAAATTACTCATCGAAGCCTCCTTGGGACTTGGTTCGATTTAAATTTAAATAAAACGAGAGAAAAGGCATGTACAAATGTTTCTTTTCAATGGTTCAGCTGATCTTTAACGCAAATAAATGGCTAAAGCTTGGGTCACTCGATTTGCAACTTTTCGAAAACTTTTGTATAAACGACGGAGATGTTTTTTGACACTATTTATGGATTTGCAACTAGCACTTTTTAAAAACAAAAATCAGGTTACAGTTTTGTATCTGTTTTGTCTAGTTCTGTTTTTGCCTGCTCTTCTCGGCTCAAAAACAAACCCGCCATCTCCACCTCCATTGCCCTGTTGTTCATCAGCACGTCTCCCTCGGTCAGGCTACCTGTTTTACCCCTCCTGCCAGCGATTCCATTCCATCCCCACAAGCCACTGCCATGACTCTGTGCCCAAACATGGGTGACCTCTTCAATCTTTTCAGCGCCCGTAAATCTTCCCGCTCGCCTACGTCCAGGCCCACATCGCCTCCTTCCTTACCTCAGCTCCTCTGAACCCCTTCTGCTTGTTTCATACTACCTCCAGCGTTTGATAGAATTTCTCAGCCTCCACAAACCTGACAATCGTGAAAGTCGCCATTGTCTGGAGGACCATAGGGGCTCATGAGAGAGAGAGACGACTGGTAATAGTTTAACAGGAGGGTCACCATGCCTCAGGCAAGGGGGTAGAGACTGACGAGAGACCTTTGTGCTAACCTAAGCTGGTGACGGGAATTGAACCCACGCTGTTGGTACTACTCTGCATTGCAGACCAGGCGCTGGGGTAGTGGCGATGTCACTGAATTAGCAAGGCAGAATCCGAGCCCAATGCTCTAGTGATATGGTTTTGGATCCTACCATGCCAGGTGGTGAGCTTTAAATTAATTTTTTAAACACAAAACATCTGGACTATAGGCTGCCATAGTAACCCATCTGGTTCACCTATGTCCTTCAGGGAAAGATATCTGCCGAACTTCTCTGCCCTTCATGTGACTCTAAATCCATGGCAAAGTGGTTAACTCTTCACGGAATCTCAGAAGTGCTACTAGTGCAGAAAGAGGCCATTCAGCCCATCGTGCTTGCATCAGTTACCTCTTAAATGCCTTCTGGGCAATAAAAGCTGGCCTAACTAGGGGCACTGAACGAATAAAAATGAAATCGTCCTCAAACTGGGTTGAAGCGCTTCCACCCAGCATGCCAAATCCAGCTCTTTCCCTCCCCTCTGTTCTCACTTATTCCTCACCTTGTGCTTCAACCTACAACTCCCAATTCTCTGCCCCTTTCACACGATTTGCACATCCTTCCCACACCATTAGCTACAGACCTATTAAATAAACCTGCTTTGTAATTGCCCCAAAGTGTCCAGGGATGTGCAGGCTAGGTGGATTAGCCATGGGAAGTGCAAGGTTACAGGGATAGAGTAAGGGATGGGTTTGGGTGGGCTGCTCTTTCGAGGGTCATTGTAGAATCGATGGGCCGAATAGCCTGCTTCCACACTGTAGGAATTCTATGATTCTAAGTCTATCATTAGGTCTGGACTGTCCTTTCTGTCAGCTTAATTTCCCAGTTCTGCATTTACCCCTTTATCATTCATTACCTTTATTTGGGTTTAAAATACTTGATTTAGTTTTGAAACAGTAGTCTTGGACCCACACTTGTCAAGTTCACGCTAAACCTGAAATTTTACCGTGTTATGTTATTACTATTGTATGGAGACTGTGACGTAAGTCCTAATGTCACTAATTCACAATTATTGTAACAGGAAGATATCAGTAAGGCTGACCATGAAATTGTTGTTGATCTTTTAAGGAAGGAAATCTGCCAACCTTGCCTGGCCTGGCCTATAAGTGACCCCAAACCCATAGCAATGTACTTGAATCTTGCTGGGGCGGCATGGTGGCTCAGTTAGCACTGTTACTTCACAGCACCAGCAGCTCCGGTTCGATTCCACCCTCGGGCAACTCTCTGTGTGGAGTTTGCACATTCTCCTTGTGGCTGCGGGGGTTTGCCCCGGGTGCTCTGGTTTCCTCCCATAATCCAACGGTGTGCCGGTTAGGCGAATTAGCAATGCTATGGTGTCCAGGTGGATTAGCCATAGGAATTACAGGGTAGGGTGTGTGCTGGTCTGGGTGGGATGCGCTTCAGAGGTTCGGTGCGGGCTCGATGGACTGAAAGATCTGCGCCCGCAGTGTAGGGATTACATGATTCTAAATGCCCTCTGAAATAGCTCAGCATGTCAGTCAGCCTAAGAGTAATGGGCAACAATTGCTGTGGAATAATAAGAATTGTCAAGGAGCCTGGGGACTAACTGTCTAAAATTCCCTCTACTTTTAAATCTCCTAAACGCCCACCTCTTTCTTAGCCCTCGGTTGGATATGCGTTTTCACTCACCACATCTTTGAAGTACAGTTGATTCGATTTTAATACTGTTATGTCCCCCATATAATAACTTTAAAAAAAAACATATGGCCCAACAGCAAGTTGGTTAAAATGTGCCAATCCACCGACTCAACAAGTCACCCCCGCCTTTGGAGCTGTCTCATTTATTTAAAAAAAAATCTATTTTCATTGTGCTTTGCGCTTCATTATCCAAATGTTTAAATAAACAGTCCTGAGCCCCGAAGCGTGGCGGTGTAGGACGTGTTGTAGTATGATGTTGTTTATTAAACAGCGAGGAGAAAGTTTACACTGGCAGAGTGGGACCATCTGGATATATGTAGCTCCCAATGAATTCTCCCCGAGCGCTAGCGAGTGCAGAAACTACACCAAGTTACATAAACATTTCGAAAGTGAACACACACAGGAACTTGTGGAAAGTGAGTTTGGGGATTGTTGGGGGGTGGGAACAATGAGCCATTCATTGAACAGGGGGAGCAATGATCTCAATAGGAATTGAACAGTGGACTGGGGGCAGGTCGGTTAAAAAAAAAGTTCACAAGGATTCGGTACCCAATAGAGAGAAAGGACTCGAGCTTTTGTGTTCCACTGGAACGACGTACCCAGAACAATCTGGTTGCTATTACAATTTTACTGCCACACGCTTAGGCATTAACTCGCAGTTTCTTTCGGTCCCGTTTCATTTATGTACAGTATATTAAAAAAAAAGTGGCAGCGTTTGCACATCAGCCAATACCCGGAGCATTTATTTGCAGTCTGGTAGTTTTAAAGACCTGTCTGATACGCACAACAGCAACAGCGGATTAAACCCCGATTAAATTACCCGCAGCCCCACAGTTAAAACATTCAATTCTTTAAATCCCCGAGGGGGATTTCAGTTTGTGAACAAGTGCTCCATACAGATTCTGAAGTTTTATTTTACACTCCCACCCCTTCCAATCCAATGCAAAATCACCGAGTTTTCAGGCCGATTAAAGTGAGCGCCACTGAAATTCTTTGAAAAATTCCAAAGGTTAAAATTTCTAAATTCTCCTCGAATTTTGCTCTTCCATCTCCTGCGTTGGAGCAAACCGGCACTCACTGATATATATATTTCCGCCTTTTTCATTTCACTTTACAGTTTGGTCCCCACTCTTATATAGAGGTTCGGATAAAGGGTTTACTTTAATTTTAAGAAGTTGGTGCTGACGGGAGCCCGAAGATGGATATTTTCGGAAACTAGCTGTGGAATGGCTAGAGGAGCACCTCGTAGTTTGAATTGTCCTTTTTGCAGTCAAAACCGAAACGGGAATCGTTTTCTAGGTATTTTTTTCCCCCAATCAATCTGTCCAGACGTGTTGTGGTACATCTCGGGAGCAGGTGGGACTTGAACGCAGCCGCCCGCACGCCCATCCCATCCCCTCCCCTCCCCCTTCCCACTCCGCACTCCACACCCCATCCCCACAACTGACTCCCACTCCAGAGGCAGAGACGCTGTCACTACACCTGGACCAAAGAATCTGGAAGCCAGGCGTGTGCATCTATTAGACAGAGTTAGTAAACTGGACCCCAATCTACAGGAGAGTTTATGGATCCAATCTTTAAATATATATCTTAAAAACGAGGAGACAAAACAAATTTAAAAATCTAATCAATATCCTATCATTCTGATCAATTATGCACATGTGATTTTTAAATTTCTTTACGAGTGCGTTGCCTCGGAGGGGAGCAAATTGGAGTAAATTAAAATGATTAACGGCATTTGTTGAAGTATAGAGGCTTTCACTGTAGATCGCAATACTAATGACCTAACACAACACTCGACATTTACTCTGCTTTTTAACCAATCGTGTAGCGAAGAAAAACAAAGCATTTTGAAATTATAAAACCTGACAGAGCATTGAATGCAGGGCTAGGACTGGAGTTAAATTAGAATGAACATCAGAACAGTGTCAGGGTCTGCAGATTTTAAGCGAACACGGAAAGCACTCGTGGATGATATATGCCGAGGCCTCCACGTGGAGATGTTCCACAGAGAGTCAAAAACTCGATTGAGGGATCAATAACGTTGTCATTAACTCGCCAATCTAAACAAATTTGGTCTCTTGAAAAAGTGCTGGAATTGATTAAACACTTCAAATGACTCCTTCAGATAATGGGTCAGACTATTTCTAGAGGACGGATACAGCCCATACAAGTGTCAAGTGGCCGTACGCTTTATCATTCAGATTAGCCTGGCAAAACAGTGACTCGTTCATCTCCCAGCAGCAGCTCCAGAAACTGCTGAACCCAACTCTTTAATTGTCTTGTGTGAGAAAATGTTTCTCGGCGTGCGCGGGGGCGAAACACACGTGGTGGGGACAGAATATTTTTACGAT